ATGCCCTCAACAAACCTTATTTGAAGACTCTACCTCTCAGGTAGTGATCACTTCAGAATATCAACYTCACATCCCTTCAACAACCTGCGATCGACTGGAGTGGGTATCTGATCAACCCAACTCTTATACTCCAACAGACTAGCAGATGTCTCAGCTTAAGAAGTCGCTCGACCAGACTAGAGTGAAAATTCCTCTTCGTACCTCTAGTGGTGGTGAGTTTGAAAGACTCGAGGCATTAAGGGCTGAAGAAGAGCTAGAGCTTCAAAAGAAGCAGACTGAAGACAGCCTAAAGCTGGCCAAGTCACTAGCTGCTAAAGTCCTTCCCAAGAAAAAGTCCAAGAAAACGGTGAGTGCTGTCCAAGCCCAAGCTAAACTTCTTTCTATGGCAGAAGCTGAACGCAAGAAGAAGCTGGAGCTTGTGGACAAGGATAAGCAATGGAGCGAAGCAAAGCTGAAAAAGGGACTCAGTCCCTGCCCAATCATTAGCTTCAGCATCAGCGGACGATCCAAAGACGGTGGTACTCTAGTCTCAATGCTCATCACCAGGGACAATCTTGATGCCATTACCGAGTATCCTTCCTACCTAGGCCGCTATGGATTCAGCGAATGGATGGAGTTCAAACAAGCCATTCAACAATCCAAGTCGAGACACAAGACAATTATCGAGGACACCATGAACGAGCTCATCAAAAGGATGTCCAGGTATGTCAGGGTCCCTGACCGGCCAACTCTGAAGAAGGGTGAGAAGAGGAAAATAAAGCTCTCTGATCCTAATGAAGGACCATCCCTAAGGAACGAACATGAAACAAAGTTCTCCTTAGATGAAGTCCTGAAGGGTCATAAGAGTGTTGACATTTCTATGCTGAATCTTGACTTGCCAGATAAGGGTCCCTATACACCCAACTCTGTGCATTTTAAACCTGAGTTAGGAGTTATATTCCTTGACTATGAAGGTGAAGTCAGATTTCAGAGAATGTCAGAGCTACGTCTATGTCCAATAAATCACTTGGTGTATCTTTTGCTCTGGATAGATGATAACATGCCTGGAAGAGTCGTCGATATGAAGATACGAAGGGAATTCCTACATCGAAGAAACCTTGGTGAAGATGTACCTGATTACATAGATCTAAGTGTTCTAGAATAATATTCTCTTTGTAACAACAATCCACTCTTCCTTGTAACTTCATGTACTATATCTCCTTTCAGTGATTTTTCTTATATTCTGTAAGATCTRGACATGTACTGTAATACTTGTATTATTTCCATTGTTTAATAAAATGAGTATTCCATGTACTTCACTGAAAAAGATMCCTGAAAAAAGTAATAGAGACACAAGTCTATGAGTTCCAATGTTACTTTCATCATTCACTGACAATTTATAAGTCAGTGAATAAACTTTCAGTTTCAGTTTCCGTACTTGTAGTTTTCTTAGATATAACTTAAGAAAACTTCTCAAGCTGAGACTGACCAAACTGAAAAAGATGCTAAAATAGTAAAAAGGGATATACACTTTGTATATAACTTTTTCTTACTATTATTTGATAAGATAATTTTCTTTATGTTATCTTGTTATCATCAAATAGGGGGAGATTGTTGATCCTCTCTCTCAGTAATTTGATGATAATCCCTTTTTCCTTTCATGTTGTATTTGTGTCTCTGTATTTTCAGTTCCAGCAATCATCACTGAGTATGTTCAGTGATCGCTGAAGAACTTGCATTGTAAATTCATCAGAGACAAACAATACTTCAAGAAGACAACACTCACACCAAAGATCATTCAGCAAACGTCGAAGACTGAAACTAAAGATTAGAGACAGGCGAGTACGTGATCTGAAGCGGTATTCAGTGATTACAAGCCTGTCTACAAATGTGTGAAGACTGCTCTAGCTTCAGCGAATGATGATGAGACCTCCAAGTCATCCCAGCATTCAGCGATCAAAAGAAGCTTGATTAGCACGATTGTTGTTGTCTTG